ACATCACCCCGATGCAAATATTCAAAGATTCATGATTAACCCACTCAACTAAAGAGATCTCAAAACCTACACATATCTGCATCTGTAGCGTTAAAAAAATAATCAAATCAAGTAACTGTTCATTCTCAGATGTTACTGAGCATTCTACAAATCCATATTGAAAAGAAATACTAAAGTTAAATGGCTTTGTATGTACAGTATAAATTTCATTTTAAAAGAAAATATATACATGAATATACAGAGAAAAAATGATTGTACAGTCACTAACATATTAATGATGGCTATGTCTCCAGGTGGTAGGATTATGAGTGAATATTTTGTTATGGGAAAGTACCTACAAAATAGCTAACTTAAGAACAAAAGTGCATTACCACAAATAAAACTATTTTGTTCTCTCCTGTCCTCACATCACAAAATTTTAAAGCTACCAACTAACATGAATTTGCCTAAGTGGCTACCCACATTCAGGTAGTTACAAACAGGAAAATCTCATAAAAGATGGAAAAATAACAAGTTACAAAATAATAGATTTGCTCCAAAATAAACACTGACAGCAACTTAATTGGGCTTCTTATAGTTACATAACTAAAAGTAAAGTCAGTGCCTAACAAGAATCTTATCTCTATAAAGTTTAGAAACATTTTTCTCTATTATCTAGTTTGCTAGTTTCCAGGTACTTAGAGCAGTTTGAACTGAGTCTTTGTTTTTGTCCCATTCACAAACATCTCTCTCAGCTAATCCAAACACCACTGCTAATTCAAAGTTATACTAAGGCCATTTAAGACTGCTTTAGATATTTGGCTAATCAATCATGTGGCAAATTTTAAAGAACAAAAACAAGAGTCCCATTGTCAGCAGCAAATTAACTAGACTAAGGGTCTTGATTTTTTGAAAGCCTTTGGAAGCCTGCATGTTAAATACTGGTGATTTTTAAATTCTCAATGGAAATGGTGATGGCATTCAATGAACCAAGCCAGTTCAAGTTACAGTGTAGTGAGAACATGAGATAAAAGACAAAATTGGCAGTGAATCCTATTTTTCAGACATCACCAAAATCTCTTCTTATAAATCAAAATAATTTTGGACTCCAGTATATTTTCCAACATACTTACACCTAAGAAGCTTAAAAAAAAAAAGTGTGTATACACACACACACACACATACACGTCACCCTTGTTTACCTTATTACACAGTATTCACATTTAAAGTTACAAAGAGAAAATTTAAATGTAAAATTAAACTTCAATGCTACATAAATGGCGTGCTTTATTTTCAGAACATTTGTATACACTACACTGTCACTCATTACTTTTCTATGCTTTGTTGAATGTTTGTTTTTAGGAGTAACAAAAGCAACAAGGTTAAACTCAAATACACAAAATCTTTTAGATTATTCTGCAACAATGTTTATATGGCACAGTCACAATGAGTAGATGAAGCTTCCCATGTTGTTGGCAGAATATAGAATCATAAAGGAAAAGCCACACAATTGAGATCTTAAGTAGCAAATCTATTCTGGGGGATTATCTTTAGATTCTTGGCATAAAACTATGCACAATTTTCCCAAGAATCTTTCTCTTAGGGGGGCATTAGACCGCTATTTAATGTGCTGTTGTTGTTATTAACTGCCGTTGAGTCGGTTCCGACTCATAGCAACCCTATATAGAGTTTCCAAGGAGCAGCTGGTGAGTTTGAACCGCTGATCTCGTGGTCCAGTGCTTATCCTATAGCGCCACACCAGGACTCCATTTAATATGCTAGAAACAATTTATTAAATGATGACTGAAGTCCTATAAAAGTAGTGCTTCTCTTACATATGAGTAGTAGGATACTCTACTCCCAAGTTGACAAATAATTGAAGGCTTTAAAGGAGAGTAGGCAAATGACTTACAGAAAACTTCTTAATCATATTTGGCTACCATTATTTAAAATTTCAGTGAGTTTAAGCAATCTAAATTATAAATACTCTCATTTAATAAAACACCCACACAATGACAAGAATGAGACTTTAATCAGTTGTAAGTGGAGTTTATAACACTAAGAGATAAAGGGTTGTTAACAAACACAATAACAAATGGACATCTGATTGGTCTGAGGCATTATCCTGTACACATTATATTGTTGTTGTTGTTTTTGGGTATCCTCAGTGCATAGCATTTACACACAGAGCCACTGCTGCACAGCACAAGAGTATCTGAAGAGGCTGAATCAGAGTAAGGCTGTTCAACAGACTGAATTTTTTTAGTATATATATTCTATATGAAAACAGATTGAATTTTTGAACTGGCAGGATAGAAGGCAACTCTGCCAAACACTGCAGTGAAAGCCCCCACTTTAGTGCACAGTTCCACCCCTTCCATCTGCATGCATGACACATTAACAGTATTTAAAGGTAAACGAGGCACTTTGTGGCAACCACAGCCATCGTTATGAACATATTGCACAAATTTTCTAGAACTAAACATGTAACTTTACCCTACTTTTATTTTTTAAAGCTGAAACATTTGATGCTGCCGGTAAACTCCACTTAAGTTTATAACCTGTGCCACAGCAAAGAATGGTGATGCTATTTATTCAACTACCCCTTAATAATTATGGCAAAAATGTTCAAGAGGAGCTACAGAGGACTTAGGATGGTACAGGGCACAATTGTAAGCTTTCTTAAAGTGATGCCTTCAAGTAACTTCAGACAGGTAAGCTGCTGCACATCCAAAAAGTCTAAGAAAATATTCTGGAAACTCAGATTAACTGCAGATTGCAATTCAGGCTAATTATGAGTACTGTCATAAATAAATTTTAATTAGGACTCAAAAACTTTTCAGTCATAGCAATTCTTGTCAAATTCTATGGGGATGGTAACTGAAATAAAGTATAGGAGAGTATGTATAATATATATATATATATATGTGTGTATATATATATATATATATAATATATATAATGCCATTTTTCCATTTCCAATGACTACACCATAAAATGTAAGCAAGGCTTCTCAAAAACACTGAAACATTCAAAATCAAAACCCTCATTCAGACCTTCACATTCCCAAGGAAAAATACTAACAGTGCAAAAGCCCATTATAATGTCATTATTTACGACCTGGCCCTCCATGTTACATATTTGAACAATGTATGTTTTAATATCCAGGGCCCAAAACTGAAAAAAAAAAACATAATCAATGACTATCTTCAAACAAGAAGAGCTGGATTTTCACTTTAGTCAACAGTTTTCCGTTTTTATGAAAGACAAGGTGGCATATAAATCTCAATGGTTAGATCTTAGGAGGAGTTGTTTCTAAATTTACCAGTTTAACTTAAGAGCTTTGTTAAAAATATTTAAACTTTTTTGAAAGAAACTGACGAGGTATGGTAAACATGTCAATATTATTCACTAAGAATATTTTAGATGAAATTCTGCCTAATCTATTTACCACTGAACTTCATAAATGCTGTTCTAGTAGCTCCTATGCAATCTGTATTTTAAAATTAACAAAGTCAGACCACAGCTAGTGAACAATTTCAGCACCAAAAAGTTATTAAAAATGGGATTTTACACCATTAAGACATAAATGGTGAAAATTCAAAATTGTCATGGTATAATTTGAAAGGTATAATTTGGGGGGGATCCTTTTTAATAATATCTTCACATTAGCTTTACAATAGTAGTTGTATTCTGTTTAAAATCATATGCAGTCTGGGCATATCAAATATATGATGGTATTTAAACAATAAAATTAAAGCCCTTGTCCCAACTCTCACACTATAAAGAAATGACTCAACACTGCATGTGAAAAAAAAAAATTCTATTCTCCCAAAATCAAATCAATAAAGCATATCTGGGACAATTTCTACTGAAAAAGTAAATTGCCTTATTATTTGTGCAGTGTTAAAATTTTACTGCAACTGTAATTTCCTTTTTAATACAAATAAATGTCCTTTTTAAACTATAAACATCATAAGTATTAAGCATTCAGTATTCAAGTAAAATTCCCTAACAGTTAATGACATTTAAAAAAAATGTGCAAAACTGCAAAACTCATTGTAATAGAATGTGTAAGGTCAAAAGGGTGGAACAGCTGACAGATACTGGACTGAATAAGTGCATCATAAATCTTTAAAGGAAAAAAATAACGCTTTACTGTAGGATCTCAAATTGAAATTTCCTGTGCAGCATTATAAAATTATTTTATATTTAATGAGGACAAAGAAGCTTGTAGGCAGCACATGAAGTATCCACAGCAGGTATGTGATTGAAAACTCATAAACGAAGTGTAAGTTGCTGACTGATGAAGGGAGACTAATAGCATCTGACTTTCAGCACTGGCCTTGATTACACAGGGGATGGGGCAGTCATTACAACTGAGAAAATATATTTCATAAATCACTGTCAATTTTTATAATGTTTCAAGCCCATTCTTTGTTGATAGCCTCCACATTTATATGGTTAAGTCATTGTTGCTGTGTTTCTTTATCTATGACATCATTTTTATGACATCTTTATCTATGACATCCTTTCATTTGTGGATTCTTAAAGATGTTGCAAAAGGTTCATTCCTGTACCCCATTACATAGTCACTCCCTCTAGCTGCCTTTTCTAGCACCAATATGCTTTAAAAAAAAATAAAATGCACAAACAACAAGCAGTGACAGCGGCCAATTCCTTTAACGTCCAAATGAATAACTGTAGCATGCTAAAGAAAAGTGCACGTAAATAGCTGGAGATGGTATATGGTCGAGAGTCCAGCATAAAATATATTCCTTTCTGAGTATTCCCTCCATCCCCCTAACCAAAATACATGCATTAGAATATAGCAAAAACCCTTTAAAACGTCTCTTAGCCAACTGCAAACTTATCTGTTGCCACAAGTGCAAAGGGGTAGGATGTGAACCTGTGTATCACAAAGAGCTCTTTAGCCACTTCAGTTGGTGACAGAACAGAAAAGGAAAAAATCCCTACGTATACACATCAGTCTTCTGTCTCCACTTTTTATAAAACTGGAATAAAATGGGAAAGTGCCATCTTTATTTTATTCTAATTGAATTTTAAATGTCCTTTTGACACAAAAAGGTATATACATGACACAGCTACACAATCTTTTTTCAACTGGACAACAAGTGTCAAAACCCTGTGGATGTATAGGGTAAAACAAGATTGGTCAGGAAAAGAGAATTGTTCCTATAACTGGTAATCTGTCATAATATCCTATTGTCATTTAAAAAAAAAAAAAAAGTCCATTTTCAGTTTATTCAAGTTTCTTTTTATGGTGTTTATCCCTCTTGATAAAAAAAAAAAAATCAGACTTTTGTAATTTGTGTGTGCTGATCCTCATCAAAAGGTTCATTCTCAGGGTCCGAGTCAGTGGTGTCAGAGTATCTGTAATGATCAGGTTCATTGTCACTAACATCTGGCGTTACAGAAGTCGAACTGCTAGCTTCTGGATTTGATGGCTCCTCTACAGTTTTTGTAAAGTACAGCTTCACCTAGAGAAAAAAGAGAAAATGTGTAATGAAAATCTGACTAATCTTATTTAGTAAAGAGAAATGTATTTCTAACAGATTCATTTTTACATACATGACCTTTAACAGGTAACAGCATTTTAGATAACCCTCTTTATTAAAATTTCCTGTATCTTCTTTCTTGTTTTATACTGAAGCAATAACTTAGAATTAAAGCACTGTTTTGTTTTTTAAATAAACATCAGCTTCAAACATTGCCTAAATAATTCTATTGAGATTGAAGGTTATCAATAATTCAAATATAATTTTTCAATCACAAATGCAATTTACAAATGGTTGAGTTCCAAGACTGTTTGACTTACTACCTGTCAGAAACTCTTTGTACATTCTGAATCAAATATCATACACACAAATACTATACAGTACTATATATAGAATTCTGACCAGTAATGACTTTTAGGATCCTATTAGCCTTAAAATTTTCACTTAAAAGAAAAAGAAAGATAACATTATACAGTGATCTAACAATGGATCAAGAGCTTTTTACATGCATAGTTGAAATAATGATCAAAACACCTGTACTGTACTAACTGTTGTTATGGTTCAGTGTCGTTGAGTTGGTTCTGACTCACAGTGACCCTGTATAGGGTTTCCAAGGAGAGGTTGGTGGGTTTGAACCACCGGCTTTGTGGTTAGCAATCCAGTACTTATCCTACAGCACCATGCAACCCTCAAGTCAGTCCCATATTCTGTTAGATCACATTCTCTGGAATGGGCACAAACCCTTTCTGTTGAATGGGTACAAATATGTATCTCTTCCAGTTGGCTAGCCAGATAGCTGTCTTCCAAGTTTCTTGGCACACACCAGACCTTCCAATGTTGCATTTGTTTCTTGAAACATCTCAATTTGGTATTCTATCAATTTCTGGAGCTTTGTTGTTCACCAATGTCTTCCAGTCATTTTGTACTTACCACTTCAATATCTTAGGCTCTGGGTCATAGCATACCTATTGAATGGTTGGACACTGACCAATTCTTTTTGATACAGTGACTGCTTATTCCATCTTTTGAGCTTTCTTCACTGCTTAATATTTTACCCATAGAAAACTTTAATATTCTGACTTAAGGCTTGTAATTTTTCTTCAGTACTTTCAGCTTGAGAAATGCTGGGTGTGTTCTTCTCATATGACACTCTTAATTTCAGGTCTTTGTACATTTCATTATAACATCTTGCCTTGTATTCTTGAGTTGCCCTTTGAAATCTTGTTTGTCTATTTTACTTCATCAGGTCTTCCATTCACTTAAGCTACTTACATTTTTAAGCAAGTTTCAGAATTTCTTTTAACACTTATTTTGGTTTTCCCTTTTTCTTTCCCCTGTATTTTTAATGACCTTCTGCTTTCTGTATGTATGATGTCCTTGATGTCATTGTTCTACAGGTTACCTGGTCTTTGGTCATTCACTGATGCATCAAATTTACTCTTGAGATGGTCTCTAAATTCTGGTGTGATATCCTCAAGATTGTATTTTGCTCTTGGGGACTTGTTTTAATTTTCTTCAGCTTCAACTTGATCTTGTATATAAACTATTAATGGTCTGTTCCATAGTCAGTACTTGACCTTGTTCTGACTGATAGAGCTTCTCCATAGTCTTCTTTCCACAGATATACTGGAATGTTGTTTTTCTATGCATTCCATGAGGTGAAGACCAAGTATATAGTTCACCATTTATATTGTGTAAAAAAGATATTTGAAATGAACAAGCCATTGGTCTTGCAAAGTTCTATCATGTAATCTTCAGCGTGGTTTCCAGGATCAAGGACATAATTTCCAACTATCAACCCTTCTTCTACTTTCTAATTTGGGGAATTTAATTACCGGTAACTATCAATGCAACTTGATTTAATGTTTCATCAATTTCATACTACAACAGTCATTAAGAAGACACAAATTAGAATTACAATACGATAGTACCTCACTCAAACTACATGGCTTACCCATTTTTGGTGAGAATCCAAAATAGTATAGAGATATGTGGAAACAGTTCGGAAGTTCCTTAAACACAAAACTACCATATGACCCAACAATTCCAATCTTGGGTATATACCCAAAACTACTGAAAGCAAGAATGCAAACAGAAACCTATGCATCAATTTTCATTGTGGCACTGTTCACAACAGTCAAAACATGGAAACAACCTAAACATTTGTCAAAAGACGAATGGATCAACAAAATGTGGTACAATGTATACAATGGAGCATTATACAACCATAACAAGAAATAAACATGGAAAAATCTTGGAAAACATTCTACCGACTGAAAAATGTCAGCCACACCCAGGACAAATGCATGATTTAACTTAACATTAAGTAGGGTGTCTTGGTGAGGAGCTATAGCATAAGCACTGCACTGCTAACCACAAGATCAGCAGTTCAAACCCACCAGTCACATCTCAGAAACCCTACACAGGTTTCTATGAGTGGGAACTGACTCAACAGCACTTATCATCAACAATATAATATGAAATAGGCAAATATATAGAGGCCAAAACCTCTATATTAGTCATTGTTTTTAAGTGCCGAGGAGTCAGTTCTGACCATAGCGACCCTCTATCGGGTTTCAGAGGAGCAACTACTGATTTTGAACCACTGACCCTGTGATTCAAACAGGCTTTCAAGACAGCACATTAACTGACAGCCCCACACCAGGACTCCATATCAGTGCTTGTTGTTGTTGTTAAGTGCTGTGGAGTTGATTCAAACCCATAGCGACCCTGTATAGGGTTTCTAAGGGGCAGCTGGTGAGCTTGAACCACCAACCTTGCAGTTCAAATGGCTTTGCAGTCTGGCGCCACACCAGGACTCCTTACAAGGGTGGAAATATTAGTGTTTAAGGGGTTGAAGGGCAGAGGAGACGGAGTCAATGCTTAGGGGGAATTGAGTGTTAACAGTAGTGGAATAGTGGTAATGGTTGCGCAACATGATGAACATAGTAACTGTCACTGAATTATATATGTAAAAATGGTAGAACTGGCAAATGTTTGTTTACATGTATTTTTATCATAATAGAATTTTCTTTTTAATCAAAAAGCTAATGGTTAAGGCAAATGTAGATTTACAGTAAGAAAGCAAAATAAAGGAATTTAAAAACTCGAAAGAAATTTAAGTTCTAAGCACATGTAATATTAGAATGATTTCAACTTATATAATGTAAGTTTCTGCTTCCTTGTTTTACTACCAGCTGCCATAAAGTCTATTTCAACTCATAGTAACCCCATGTGTGTCACAGTACAACTGTGATCCACAAGGGTTTTCAACAGCTCATTTTCTTGGAATGAGATTATCAACTCTATCTTCCAATGTGGACTCAAACCTCCACGCTTTTTTAGAACTAACTCTGTACCCCACCAAGGAGCTTTGTTCCTATGCCAATATGCTATGGTTAGAAACATGGAATAAAACAAACAAACAAAAAAAAAACAGGAGCTGGAAGAGAGTATTAGGAAAGGAAGAGGGTGGGGATCAAACAGAGTAAGAAGTAGGCCAGGTGGGAATGTTTATGTATCAGATGTTTTTAACTTGGAGAATTGTGTGCAAATATTGTTAGGTGCCTTCGAGTCGATTCTGACTCATGGTAACACTATGTACATCAAAACCAAACACTGCTGGGCCCTGTAACATCCGCACAGTTCTTGTCACATTTGAGCCCATTGTTACTGCCACTGAGTCAATTCATCTCCTTGGGACTTTTGCAGACCCTCCTCTTCCAATTTTAACAAGCATGAATGATGTACTTCTACAGGGACTGGTCCCTCCTGATAATGTCCAAAGTGTGCGAGATGAAGTTTCATGATCCTTGTACTAAGGAGCATTCTGGCAGCACTTCTTCCAAAAAAGACTTGTTTGCTCTTCTGGTATCCAGTACTTTTAATATTTTTTTCCCACAGCACAATTCAAATGCATCGATTCTTCTACGGTCTTCCTCATATATTGTCAAATATTCACATGCATATGAGGCAATGGAAAATACTATGGCTTGGGTTAGGTGCACCTGAGTCCTCAAACTGTTATCTTTGTTCTTGTATACTTAAAAGAGATCTTTTGCAGCAGATTTTCTAAATGCAATAAATATATTATTTGATTTACTAAATGCTGTTTTTGATCATTAGTGTCAAACACATCAAATCTGTTCTTGAGATGGTCTCTAAGTTCAGTTGATAAATAGAAATACATATATAATATTTAGGAAAAAAAATGAAACAAAGTAAGACATAATAAGAGAAAATAAATTTTAGAAAGGATTAAAAAGGTAGGAAGATCAGGTAAGGTCTCTGAGTGGACTCAAACCTCCAACCTTTTGTCAGAACTACACCCCAGCGATAAGGCTGAACCTATAACTGGAAATAAGAGGATAGCTACATGAAGGGTAAACTCCAGGGTAATGGCTACAAGTAGAGAGGTAAAGGGGACAGCAGAAGAATTGGACAGAGCTTAGCATTTTGAAGATCTAAAGGAAAAAAAAAAGGACTCTCAATGAAATAGACTGATACACTAACAACAACAGGATCAGAACATAACAAAAATTGTGAGGGTGGCGCAGGACCAGGTGGTGTTTTTCTCTGATGTGCATACAGTTGCTATGAGTGGGAAGTGGCTCAATAGCAGTTAACAACAAAAACAATGAAATGGATACCAGTATGGCTAAAGCTTAAGGAAAAGGGAAAGATTGTGGTTGGAGCTGATGTAGGAAGTCAGTCTATGCTAAATTATGTAGATCTTTGTAGGTCATGGTATAAAACCACAATGTCTTTACAAACTATAAACATGAGTGACACAAAATCAAATCTATTTTTAAGAATACTCTGAAGGAAATGTTGTGAGTAGTGTCTGGGGTCTTACAAGCTTGTGAGCAGTCATCTAAGATTGGTCTCTACTCATCAAGAGCAAAAGAGAAACAAGAAAACCAAAGACCCAAAAAAGTGTTAATAGACTATGAACCACACTGAATCAAGAACTAGAAGAACTA